TTTTTCTTCGGCTCTACATATAAATATGCAATTTACCCTAAATAACGAGCTTGATGTTGAACCAGGGCATATTCAAATTTTTTCGGCTGCTTCAGCTCGTTTGGCTTGATGCATCTGACGAATCTGGCGGTTTTCTGAGTCAGACTTTTCATCAGAGCCCCCATGGATATCTTGAACTGAGCTCCAGCTGTTGCACTCTTTTTCAAATGCGCCCTTTTTGGATTTCCTGCAATAAAATTCAAGGTCATTTATTGCATTGATTCCCGAGACTAATAGTTTTTTTTTCTGGCATTTAAAAATAAGATTAAAAGATGGTGTCTTTATTTTTCCAAAAATAGAAAAATTATACTGTACTTTGAAACTCAGTTTTTACTGCATTAAAAATTCTTTTTTGGAGGTGTCGAAGCACTTGTGAAAATTTCAAGTTCATGTGCTTTGATTCAGAAGACAATGTTTTCTATTTGAAAAGGATGAGGCGGTGTCGTATTTGTTCTTCCAAAGCGAGAAAATTATGCTTTGAATCCCAGGTTCACTGCATTAAAACTTTCTTGATACGACAATTTTATTGTTTCGAACGATGAACAAATATTCAAGACATCAATCACGACCTGGCAGTGGTAAAAATGATGCATTCGAAAACAGGAGTTTTATTCCGGACCTCATAGATTTCTTTTTTTGACGGATCTTCTTTTGAAATAGTTTCGCTTCTTTGGAAGGCACTTCTTGACGATTTAATATTGTTAATACTCAACAAACCTCACAAATATTAGTCATGAGACTCATGACCTTTCAGGGATTAAAATGATGCATCGGACATCAACGGTTAATTTCGAACTATAGTAGAGATTTTTGATGGCTCAATCTTCTATGGAACCAAGCCTTTCCAAAAAGAAGTTGAATATCTCTCGGAGACAATTTTTCGGTACAGGTCTAGCATTTGGCATATTTTACCTTCGGGAAACATGGCTTTGAGCAGGAAATGATTGCACCGATACATGGCATGTGATAAGTCCCTCGGTAGAGCATCGCAGTTTTTCTCAATAAAACCGGTAGCACTGTACATTACGTTCCCTGCAAAGTGACGAACCCTGAAACATTGTAGAAGAAGAAGGTTACACTTGAATTGAACTACGAATAAAAATCAAATATTTCACGAACTACTTGAATAACATTTTCCGAAGTCAAAACTGGAGAACTTGCATGGCTATATATAGATGACTATATACAGTCAAATTCGAAAAAAAATCCCATTCATGTTTTCCAGTTTATTTTGACATCAGAAATAATCTTGTTTTACAGCAAAAAAATGTGCCTATAAAAATGGATTCAAAGGCAGTTTTCAAGATATCGTCGAATCAATTTCAATGCATAAATCCTGCAGCAATTTTCATAGGCACTTCATAAAAGATTTTAATTTATGCTCAGCCATCAGAATTTGAACATTCTAGAAAGCTAAACTATTGGAATACCAAGATTCGTTCCCTCTGAAAGCTCTTCAATATTCATCATTTGGATAGTTGATATAATTCATTGGCCAATTTTATTATATTCAAAGTGAATCTTATTTAGCTATGTTTGTTTTTCAAGTTGCTCACTTGCCTCATTCCTCCTAAAAAAAATAGTTTCGTGAAAATCAAGCTATTTCATTAGTGACTGAAAGCGTGAAATCATGAAAGTCATGAGAATTTGCTGAGCATTTGAAAAAGACTCGATGAACTTAGCCGAAATTAATTTGCCAAGGTTTTCAGGAAAACAAGTTGCAGCTGGATGAGAAGTTCAAAACATTCTGCAAATTTTGTTTGCCAATAATTTATTTCGTAAGATATGCCGTTTTATTGTTCATTTTGAAGTGAAGAAGATCAATAATACCTGAAGCAGTGCTGAGGCAGTGTTTCATCAGCCAGAAAAGTCTTCATCCCTCTTGACTCGAAATTCGGGTGACCTGAGCAAACCTGAGTGAGCTTGAGCAGAAAATTCTCGTCAGTCACTTGCCCTCGACCTCGAGAACATTCATCGTCCAGCAAGCTTAAAATCCCGTGATTGTTCTGCAAAAAATATATATATATAACACACGTAAACCTCATTCAGTTTACTTCGAATGAATCGGAAATTTATAAAATTTACTCTTTCTATGAGCTCGCAGATATTGTTGTTGTTCCGGTAGTCGATGGGTTCCCAGTCGAGTCCCTCTCGAATGTATTCTTCCTGTTCCTGCCTGAGGGCGACTTCAACGTTTAGTTGGTGGAGCTTTTCGTTGCAGAAATTGATGATGAGTTGCTCGAAAGAATTGCTTTCGAATACCTCGAACCCGTAGATGTCCAACAAACCGATGAGTCGCCATTTCCCGGGGTGTTTTGGCTGAAATAAGAAGTAAATTTTGTTTTAGGATTCCTATCAAACTAAACAAAACTTTAAAGAAAAATGTAATGCCCGCGCCTACGAAATTTTTTCAGGTTTCGAATAAGCTGTAAAATTTCAATTGCCTTCAAAATTAGCATTTTGGCAGAATTCGTCAGTTTTTTGTTTTATTTTATGCATGATCACGCCAATAAAGTTCAATATCGAAATATACTATATATATTTAAAGGACCCAGGTTTTATTCTATCCGTTTAGGAGTAGAAAAAGTAGTTCTTATGGAAAAGTATCTTTTGCTATCCCTTATGAATTCAAAAATAATAAGAGGTAATATTAAAATTTGAACGACGAAAACACGCCTTACTGCTGGAATCCCGTATCCATGCATCCAAGTTTTTGTGTAATTGAAATGCAATTATTTGCATCCGTCATTAGGCGAATATGAAATTCCTCTTTTTTCAACAGGTAAAATGAGCTTTTTACATTGAACGGCATGTTCTGCCTCAAAATTGTGCAAAAACCGGAAAACTTTCATATATTGTACCAGGAATTGAATCCAACAGTTTTTTTTTTTAATCAAAGGATGCTAAAAATCCTTAATAAGCAGGGAGCTGTGCTGAAAGTGTTGTTAACACTGCCAAAAGTGTTCCACATTGCTTCTATAGGAATATTATACTATAGGGAATGTGGGAAACACCATCACTTCAGAAGTTTCCTGTTATAACATTGTGTTTTAAGGCGTTTCCAGCATCTTATCTGCATATATGTGCTTAAAGTGTTGTTAACATTGACACAAGCTATTAGAGCCAATAGATGCACAAATTGTGCTTGATGAAAAATAATTTGGCTGGATTTTCTTCCATGCCCAGGAAAAATATTTGAAGGAAACTTGTTTCCATTTGGAAGATTATTTGAAATTGTATTTTCTGAGTAATCTTCAGTATAATTTGTTGGTATTTTTCAATCGTGAGATGAACGGATGATGTAAAATCAAAAGAGTCTTGAGTCTCTTTGATATATTTTGCGTTCCCTACTTTATGTCAAAATTATTCACTATATAAATTATCGTCTTAAACTGGAAAAAAAAAATTTTACATGCTGTCTAGAAAAAAAGGAAGCGTGGTTTCTTCGTGTTACTGTCAACCCTGTATACCTCTGATCGACATAAGTAATGAGCCAATTTTTTACCCGGAGGGCTTCGTTGAGACGGGAGATGAGCCATGAAAAGAGGCGGTTGTAGACGGCTCTGCCGAGAAGACTGCGGGTGTGGCAGGCCTCGGAGGCACTTAGGTCGGCGACCACGACGTCGACACGGGACGCGGAGGCGGAACTGAGAAGTGGCGGCGGTGGCAGAGGCGGCGAAGAGGCGCCGCCGCCGCCGCTGCGAATCGACGACCGCGAGCAAGACGGCAGCGTCCCGCCGCTCGTCCACTCCATCGCCCGGACGGGATATGGGTTATTATCACAGCTGCCCTCCACGACGCAAAAGTCACCTGGGAAGGATGGCGAGAAAAAAAATATTGAAAACCAGTCGAGCTACAATGTACATGTGATTCGTGAGATCGTGACTCAGTCTTCTAAATGTTTAATGGACTTAATCCTGACACACAATCTAAAACTTGACAGACTTACAGCTTAAGACTCCATTGCACTATTTTTTTTTAAGGCTTTAAAAATACACGTAAATTAAATTCATTATACACACAAATGTAGCAAAAAAATAAAATAAAAAAGCCGACACATCAAAATGTACTTTTAAATTATATACATATTATAAAGAAACTATTTTTTTTTTGCTTCCAAGAAAAATAAAAATCGTGATGGAAAGAACCTGTCATGAAATCAAAATCCAATTACCAATATTTTTGATCATTTTGAACAAGCAAGGCCAGGTTTTAAAAAATTAATCACATCGAAAATACAGTATATCGAAAAATTTGCCACTCAAAGCTATTTTTTCGCACAAAATTGTGTTCCTCATTTCAGCAAAAACGTTTCGATTTATTCATTGTTTAAATCTCGCGAGGCATTTCACTCTCAATTGCGGTGCATGACAAAAATTTTCATATAGATGAAGAGTTTTGTGACATGGATTTTTCTTTCGCTATCCACCAAACTTCACTTTTCTCGAATCAAAATCTGATCAATTAATCTGATGTTTTTTCGAATTAATCGAAACGATGGATTTATTAGTTATTACGAGAATTTCAATATACAACATACTTGATTTCATTTCGCTTTCAATTACTGTGCATGTAACATAAATGTTTTAAAATCGAAGAGGTTTCTGATTCTTACTGGAATTTTTGTCACACTATATATATTCACCAAATCTCCTATCATTATTTTGAATTTTTCAAATGAATCTTAGCAAGGGCTTCACCACAGTTTCGAAAATTTCAATATTTGATGAATATAAAAGGCATTTAATTTTCAATCGTTGCTGGGTATGACAAAATGTTTTCATAATTGAAGAGTTTCCCAATTATTATTCTAACACGT